ATGGGACTGGCAGAGTCTCTCTCTCTCTCTCTTTCCTATAGGCTTTGCTGCTGGGAGAGCTGCTTTGTGGAGAGACAGAGTGGATGGTTGCTGGAGGAAGCCCAGCAGTGAGGATACAGAACCAGGACCCAAGTTTAAGAAATTGTTAGATATACAGTTATTTTTAGTCTGTTTTCCCAGGCCATGTTTTACAAGACTTTTCCTCTCAGAGCAATCTGGGGCTGGGCCACGCATGTGTAAGCCTTGCCAGGCCTGTGTGATTCAACTCCACCTATTGAACTACCAAAGTATTTCCCCACTGCAGGTTCAAACCGAGTGGGTGAGCAGGGGGGTCATAAGTTACAACCCCTCTTTTGTTCATGACAATCTTATTATTCATAAATTAAGGACGAGGAGACTTGAGAATGAAGCTGACTAAATTGGAGCCTAATATAAAATCTCTCTGCAGCAGGCATCAAGCACAAGGATCTCACTAACTTAAGTAGACTAAAGCTGCAATCCTACAACATTTTCCCAGGAGTAAGTCCCATTGAAGACAATTGTAATTACTTCTGAGTAGACATGCATAGGATTGCGTTGTAAATATGATCTTGAGGTGAGCTCAAATTGTATTTTGAATTTGTTAGGTACCTTTATTTTAATATGTATAGTAATTAATATGATCAAAGTATTACAGAAAAAGCTTTCATTAAAATTATTTTATATTTATGCATTTCAGTTCTCTATTATATGTTTTGAAACTTTATTTGCTGTTTTTTCATATCCCTTCATACATTTTAAGTTCCTCAGTACTTCTACTGTCTTTCGTTCTTATTTTTCTCTTTCATGGATGCCAGGTTCTTTGGAATCTTGTTTAAACCAAGTTAATGGCCTTTTAGGTTTCCTCCATGTGAGTAGGATTTCACTTTTTGAATAGTAAGAATTATATGTCGGGGCAGGGGGGGGGGGAATCAGGATTTTAGAGATGCTTAGGTGGGGCATGGCCAAAAAAAGGTTGGGAACCACTGACTTATGACTTAATGGTCATTCAAAGTTAGAATGGTGCTTTAAAAAGTGATTTACAATTGGTTCTTGCATTTATGGCTGTTGCAGTGTCCCTATGGTCATGTAATCAAAATCTGGTTGTTGGGCAATCGGCATGCTATTTACAGCAGCTGCAGCATCCCAGGGTCACATAATTGCCACTTGCCATCTTCCAGGGCGCTTCCAACAAAGTCGATGGGGAAGCCCGATTTGCTTAATGACTGCATAGTTCACTTAACAGCCACAGGAAAACAGTTGTAAAATTGGGCATGACTTTGCTTATCGACGAATATTCCAGTCCTGATTGTGATCATAACTCAAGGACTACCAGTAGAATCTTTCTCCAAGCATAACCTGAATTGAAATATTTTGCTGTATGGAAGGATACCTGCTGACCCCAGGAATGGGCATACCTAAAGTCTCTTTTCATTCACTTAATCTAGCTTTGATTTACCACTCTATATTCTAGTCATTCCCTTTTTCTTTCAGAGGCTTTTGATATGATGCAACATAATTTTATTGTCAGTAATATATATCAGTAATTACTACTACATATGTGCAGGCATTTCAAATGTTACTGAACTTTCTTCCTATATATCTAAATCAAAACATTACTGCAATGTAATAAACAAAGCATAATGCACAATAAAACATTCCAGAATTTTCATATGTAAACAAGATTATCTCTGCAGTCTGTCACTTTCATTCATGACAGTGATCTTCTCATGGCATCTAAACAGCCAAATTTTGTCAGAGCACAGATGGCTATGATTTCTGGCAGCTATAAAGTAGCTGAGATAACATTCTTCAGTATAACAAGGAAGATTTCTTTTTAATGGCTGGAGCAGTATTATATTAAATCAGAATAAAGGTACAACTTAGAAAAAACATACTCCATGCATTCAGTCACACTTGATCTTCATGTGCATTGCCTCTGCAATACTGGAATTTTTGGGGATTCTGTTTTCCAATGGCTGAAGGGAAAGCGTTAAAATAAGACCTCGAGAAGGCCTTATTTCTGTATTTTCAGATATTTTGTTCTGTTAAGGTCTTGGCAATCCAAAGCCAGACTTCTCCCAGTGGCTTTTAAAACAAGATTTATTGAAAGGGAACAGTGGATAGGACACAGAAATCTCAGCAATTGGATTGTTTTCAGCTCTTGGCACCCATTTTATTTTCTAACCTGATAAAGCGAGAGATTCTCAGCCTGTTAACAAGTGGCCCTTGTGTGAACTGATGAAGAGACTGTTCCTTTGATTCATAGGAGAAGAATATAAGGATGTCCAGAATGTGAATCTCTGTCTCTTTAGCAATGAACATACTATATTGCAAATTGTACTTTTTCTCCAAATATTCAGTAGTAATGGTATTCATCACGTCTTTAGTTTTCTGAATGATTTTCAGTGAAGATGCTACATACTCTGGTATGATGCTACATTCTCTTGTGCAGCAACCTAAGTCTTGCACATGAAATATATTCTGAAATCTGGAACTTTGCTGCTACTCATTATGTTTGGCTTAGTCTTTTCTTGCTTGGCATCATCATACATTTTTTGTTCAGTAATACAAATGGAGGTGTTCAAAAGGCTGGCAAAATGTGATAGAATGGGCTGAAGTATATACTGCATATATACCACTGCATATATATATATACATATACATATACATATACATATACATATACATATACATATATATATGTCTTTGGTTATTCGGATCTTCTCCCACGTAAAATTGGAAGTGTCTTGGCGACGTTTCGACGAAGTCTCATTCGTCATCTTCAGGCTGGTGTTCTCGGCTTCGTGCTTCCAGGAGCAATGTGAGATCGCAGCTGTCTCTTCCTTTTAACTGCTAGTGGGGGTGTGAGCTGATTGGGTGGGGACTTGGCTGTGTTCTGATTGGGTGGAGGTGTGTTCTGATTGGTTAGGGGCTTGGCTGTGCTCTGATTGGATGGGGGGTTGGTTGTGCTCTGATTGGCTGGGGGTGTGTTCTGTTTGGGTGGGGGCTTGGTTGTGCTCAGCTTAGTCTGAGTTGCAGGGGGATTTGAGCTGGTGAGCTGCGTTGTTGTTGTTTGGCTTCGTGTTTGTGGCCGTGCGAGCTCTTCATGGTGGGTGTCAGTCTGCTTCATGTATGGATTGGAGGGGTTTAAAGTGGCTAATGATGCAGCTGCGGTCTGGCTTCTGGTCCTTGGTCGTGGCTCATTATCAGTGTGGGTTTGAGTCTGCTTTCTGGCGTGGATGTGTGGTGGTGACATCCTGTGTGGCTCTTGTGAGTGTGGGACTGGTGTCATTCGTCGTGTTAGGGACTCGTTTGTCAATAAGGGCGGGTTTCCAAATGGCTGGTAGGCGGGAGGTATCGTCTCGTTTGTTCATGCTGTGTGGGCGTTTTTCTATCTCGATGGCTTCTCTGATTATTCTGTTGTTAAAGTGTTCAGTTTTGGCACCACAGACAGAATAAGCAAAATCCTCCACAAACATAACATCAAGACAGCATTCTGCACAAACCGAAAAATATCCACCATCCTAAGGAACCCCAAAGACAAAATTGAGTTAGAAAATCAAGGAGTATATGAAATCCCATGCACCGCCTGCCCCACCACATACATCGGACAAACCAACAGACGAATAAGTGCACGCATAGAAGAACACAAGAACTCAGTCAGAAAAGAGGAACCAACTTCTTCCCTGGTCCAACACCTTAAAGCCACAGGACATGATATTGACTTTAAAAAGACCAGAACTATCGCCAAAACTGAACACTTTAACAACAGAATAATCAGAGAAGCCATCGAGATAGAAAAACGCCCACACAGCATGAACAAACGAGACGATACCTCCCGCCTACCAGCCATTTGGAAACCCGCCCTTATTGACAAACGAGTCCCTAACACGACGAATGACACCAGACCCACACTCACGAGAGCCACACAGGATGTCACCACCACACATCCACCAGAAAGCAGACTCAAACCCACACTGATAATGAGCCACGACCAAGGACCAGAAGCCAGACCGCAGCTGCATCATTAGCCACTTTAAACCCCTCCAATCCATACATGAAGCAGACTGACACCCACCATGAAGAGCTCGCACGGCCACAAACACGAAGCCAAACAACAACAACGCAGCTCACCAGCTCAAATCCCCCTGCAACTCAGACTAAGCTGAGCACAACCAAGCCCCCACCCAAACAGAACACACCCCCAGCCAATCAGAGCACAACCAACCCCCCATCCAATCAGAGCACAGCCAAGCCCCTAACCAATCAGAACACACCTCCACCCAATCAGAACACAGCCAAGTCCCCACCCAATCAGCTCACACCCCCACTAGCAGTTAAAAGGAAGAGACAGCTGCGATCTCACATTGCTCCTGGAAGCACGAAGCCGAGAACACCAGCCTGAAGATGACGAATGAGACTTCGTCGAAACGTCGCCAAGACACTTCCAATTTTACGTGGGAGAAGACCCAAATAACCAAAGACCTACATACAAACACCTGTGAAAACCTGAGAAAATATATACATATAGATAGATAGATAGATAGATAGATAGATAGATAGATAGATAGATATAGATAGATATAGATATAGATATAGATATAGATATAGATATATATTTATTTATTTTTTGAAGCGAGATGAATGCAGAGGATGGCAATGATGGAAGAAATCAGGTCCATGTGGATGAAGCCTTCGTGGATCTTAAAATTCCTAAGCTCCGGGAGTCTGAAATGTTTCCTAGGTGTAAAGGCCTAATATCTCACTCTGCTGTTTGCTAATGAACATATAAATGCCAAGGTTCTGTACCTGACACTTGTAGATGCCAATAGGGGTGATCTTATTTTAATTTTTCAGATTTTCTTTTTCTTTTTTTTGTTAATTAAATAGAACAAAACAAACTGACAAATGTCATAAATTTTATTCCCTGGAAATCTCCTTGCTCTCTGGAATTTTACTTTAAAAAGAAAAGTAATAGGAAACTATAGCCAATGCTCTGTTCCTACAGGAAAAGGAGAGCAGAGGAACATGAGGGACAGGAAGTCCTCAACTTAACAACCATTCATTTAGTGACCGTTCGAAGTTAAAATGGCACTGAAAAAAGTGAGTGACAATTTTTCATACTTATGACCTTTGCAACATCCCCACGGTCACATGATCAAAAATCAGACCTTTGGCAACAGGAATGTATTTGTGAAGGTTGGAGTGTCATGGAGTGATCCCCTTTTGCAAACTTCCAACAAGCAAAGTCAATAGGTAAATCACATTCACTTAACAACTGGGTTACCAACTTAACTGCAGTGATTCACATGGCAAGAAAGGTCATAAAATGGGGCAAAACTCACTTAACAACGGACCTCTCCAGAGGGACATTGGAGAAACACCCGGCCAGTTTGCTTTCTAGTAAACTGATATTTTGTGACCGGCCACACTCACGGTGGCTTCAACACAGGGGTGAAACTCACACACTGAGCCGTGTGATCACAGGGGTGATCACACAGTTCAGCTGGGATCGCCAGAGGCTTTTAAAGGGATCAGCCGAAGAGGTTGCAGAAAAAAAATGCTTTTAAAAGCCTCTGACGATCCCAGCTGAGCCGTGTGATCATCAGAGGCTTTTTTTTTTACTTTTAAAAGCATTTTTTCGGCCAAAAAGTTGTAGAAAAAATGCTTTTAAAAGTAAAAAAAACAGACTTCCGATGGCAATGCCGATGTTGCTGGATGCTCTCTTTTGGAGCGCCAGCGCTGTGATCTTGTAAAGCCGCCCTGACAGCGCAAATCAGCTGTCAGGCGGCTGGAAAACCTTTCCCCCGGGAGAAGAGGGAAAGGAGAGCAATCGGATGGGGGTAGAGCTCCCCGAAAGCCCCTGAAATAGCTTTGGGGGCTCGGAGGGTGAGAGCTCCCCAGGAAGTCCGGTGAAACTCCGAGATCCAGGGCGCTTCTGCTTTAAGCAGAAAAAAATGTCGCGACCATTTCTGCAATCTTTATTGAGATCTAAGTTGTTTATCTATGCAGACGGAGTGAAGACAGGAGAACAGACAATCGCAAGTAACAAACCCTTAATTCCATGCTTAAATTGCTACTTTTGGAAGCTGCTTAAAGGAGTGAAGAAAATGGCGCTTGGGCTTAATAGGGTGTGAAAGTGAAAGTTAACTCTCGATAAAGCTGTTAACACCCAGCATTGCTCAAGGTAGATGGATTAAAAAAAAATGGCTGGCTTTTTTGAAAAAGATGAAGGCTCACTAGCACAAACATTAGCAAATACACAAATGTTGATTGAGGATCTCTTTAAAGAAATTTTAGAATCATTTACCTCCGGGCTGGACAGAATGGAAGGGTTTTTCAACAAGGATTTTATTCAAGCTCGAAACAAAGTTACAAGTGAAGATACTGTATCAGTATTTCAGTTGCCAAATAAAAGTGAGTTGCTGAATGAAGAGGTGGAAGAAACAATCCAGTTTAATGTGCCTTTGGAAAATGGATTGGATGTTTTTCAAATTAAGAAGGAAAGGCTGAGAGGATTGAAGGAGTGTAACCAGGAAATATTGAGAGATATTTCTCCAGAGGCTTTGATACAGACAACTGGAAAATTGTCAGGAGGTGTTGGGATCTTTAATTTAAGAAGGAGGATTCGAATGGAATTTTACAATTTTTTTACAAAAATGGATTCTCAATCGCAGTTAAAGAGGTGTGCTTAATGAAAGGAATTACTTTGCGAAGAGAAAAAGAAGATGGAGGAATAAGACTGAAGAAGAAGGTCCACAAAAAAGTCAGGAAAAAATCGAGATGGAAAAATTACAATCTTTTTGCCTGGGGAGGATAGTAGTAGTGAAAATGAATGACTAGACCTGTATTTAGGGATATGATTTGTTTTGAAAAGTTATGTTATAGTGTAAATGAATGATTTACTTATATTTAGGGACATGATTTGTTTTGAAAAGTTATATTAATGTTACGTTTGAATTGTTATGGGCTACTGACCAAACTTTCACTTTTGTCCTGAAGTATATTAACACTAAAGATATATTTCAAGGAATGCTTTGCTAAAAAATTTATATAAGCTTATAAAGAATGTTTTGTTGAAGAATAAATATAAACTTGTGGGTTATAAGGAAAATATAAGTGGTGCAAGGGTTGAGGGAAGGCCTTTTACAATATTTTTTTATAGATATCAAATAGTGAAGATGTTATTTGATTATAAATTATAAGATTATAGAGAACAAGATGAATAAGTTTATGCAAAGCTATTAAGTAAGGAATGTTCCCAGGAAGAATCAATATGAGTTTATGGGGTAAAAAGTACAAATAAGGTTTTTACAATATAATTTATTTAAGATTGGTTAAAATATTTTGTTAATATGTTAATATATGTAAGGGTTGGAGATGTGATGGTTAATTGTAATTGAGTGCTGATTGTGCAATGTTGGAAGAAAGAAGACTTGCTTATTATTGAAGAACGGACAAGAATGAACTTGGATTGATTATTTTCAAACAATAATTGGTTTAAATAGTTATATTTAGATATGAACAAGGGGAGTTAAAGTGCAAAAGGGAGATAAATCTATAGATAGTTAGCTTCTGTTTTTTTTTATATGTTTGTTAAATGCTATAGCCTGTATTTGCTCTGGGAAGTCCGGGGGGGGGGGGTAGGAGGGGGGAGGAGGGAAGGGAAAATATGTGTAAAAATTTTTAGAACCTTTTAATAAAAAAAAAAGTAAAAAAAACAGCCTCTGATGATCGCACGGCTCAGCTGGGCATGGGGGGGGGCACAGGGATTTCTGCTACCGGTTCTCCGAACCACCCGCTATCGCTACCGGATCGGGCGATCCAGTCCAAACCGGGAGCATTTCACCCCTGCTTCAACATTAAAAGGTTCCTCTTAGTAGGGAACCCTGGGACTGTGTTCTTGGAGCAGTACAGCCTTCTATAAGAAGCCTGGTTGCTAAAATGCTAGTTCTGTATCACAATCTTTCCATAGTTGTTTTGGTATCTGCCAAGTTCCTTAACAGTGATCAACTCCCACGGCTTGCTGCTGAGGAAACAAGCTATAAACAGGCAGTGGGTTTGAGGCAGAGACCTTGATAAACAAGAAGGACAGTACTATGGCAAGGAGGGGATCCAGGGTTGGCATATGAAGGTCAATGCAGTGTGCATCTCAAAATAATGCTGTAGTAGAGAGTTTGTAGGTTCCATTTAGAAGTTACAAAGCAAACTATTGACTTTTAACTGATCTTGTATTGCTTAAACCTGTCATCAAAGTCAGCGTAAATGTCCTCTATAATATGTTTGATTTTATAACTTAATGTTTTTCAAACTAGTTCACAACAATTGGTACTATGTCTACCAAAGTCCATGGTGGCTGGGAATTCTACAGCGTGAAGACTAGTACATCAGGAAAAACACAGTTGGGAGAAGGCTGCCAGAATTCATTGAACTGAGAGTGTGGAAAACATTACTTACTGGCTTTCGAGTAGGTGTGACTTGAACGGAGTGGTAGAATTCCGGCTGGACCCTGCTACTCTTCTTGATTTTTCTTTTCTTAACTGATGTTTCTTGTTCACTCACTTGACGTGCTTCTACCAGGGGCTGTATTTCTTCAAGGCGAGGAACTACACGCCTTCTAACATGGCGTGGACTTGCTCTAAAACCCTGTTAAAAAGATTACCATTAAATCATATTAGGTCTACTGGTTCTTGTATTCTGTGCAACATGCATATTATATCAAGTATATTATATTATATCTAATGGTTCTATCTGCAGAATTCAATCTGCTTTGAAATATTAGCAAAATTATTTATTAAATGTTCATGTTAAGTCTCAATCTTTTCTCCTATAAATAAGTAAGAAAATACTGAGATAACTCATTCAAAACCCAAGAATTCAACCAAAATCACTGCAGAATCTTGGTCCCAAGGCCCAAACCTTCCAAACGGTACAGAAGATTTATCATGGTTCTCCATACTGAAAAATGCTAAAAGGGAAATCAGAAGACTATATCCCTTCATCTAATTGGCACTGTAAATAATTCACCGTGATGACCAAAGGATAAGAACTGCAGAAGAGGCCTTTTTGAAGAAGCCTATCCTGTCAGAGATTCATTTAAATGGCACCCAGCAGAGAGATTTCAATTTATTACTTCCAAGCTGTGGAATATATTCCCTCATGAACCGAATTTAAACCACATTCACTCTGCCCTTAGAGAAGATCTAAGCTACATCTATTGCATCAAGTATTCAGTGATTAATTTAAAATACTTGGTGCAACTCTACAAGTTAGTGTTAATTTTATATTTGAAGTTGCATTTTCTATCCTGCATTTTAATTATGTTTATACCTTCAGCACAAAGATGAAATATACTGTGAACCAAATAAATGAACATATTAAAAAGAGTAGACACAATTCCGTCAAAATTAAAGTCCTTTGAAACTGTATCAGTATCCCTAATGGAGTTATCTCCTCTTTGTATTTTTTTTTTCTGAAGGAACTTTGTTCCAAAATTGTTCACTTGGAAAGACCTTACTTGCATCCATAACTTTTGCGCGCGCACACACACACACACACACACACACAGCTACCTCCCATCATATCGACTTGGGGCCATCTCATTCCATGTTAATATTTCTATATAGCAGAGATTGAGTTGCTCCAAATGAGATGTGGAATGGGGAGTATTGCCAAGTGGAATTCAAGCTGCTTTAAACTTCTTCTAAGCCTTTCCAATTTAAAAGCATGCAAAGTCACTACTCAAAATAGGAACCTATCAAACTAGATTGCTCTTCAAAAACCTGAAGATGAATATACAGCCTGACCATTCTGAGCTGAATAAGATAGTTTGAGCTTTTTTATTTATATAACAAAAACACGTGTGAGTTGAGAAACTCTCCATGTACCTGTTCTTAAAGAAGCACGCCAAACAGGAATTTGACTGGGATATAGCAGATAAATTATGAGAAATAAACAAATGAACAAGTATGTAGATAAATTCTGAGCAAGTGGTTTAACCTTCACATTTATAGATTAATAATTAGCTGCTTTCTTTTAAAAAAAATTAATTGATGGGTTTTTAAAAAAAAATAAGTGGCAAAGCATTATGTTTAATACATATGTGCCATAAAGAAAATAATCAGACTATAGTAGAAAAGTTATGTTTGAATGGCTAAAGATGCAATCTTGCACAATCCAAAATACAAATATTTCTGAATAAACAGATAAAAGTTTGTACCTGAAACTATCATACCCTGCTGCCTTTAGTTCTTAAGTGATAGAACAATTAGACTGAAAAAAGTGTTCTTAAAAACAGTATCCTTAAAATTATTCATACTCTCACTGTAAAAAAAAACACCACCTCTTTTATTACAGAACTAGCCTCTATAATCCTGCATTATTATGTTTCCTATTTTCATGCTGGCCACATGATGACAGACGCATCTCTCAGACAACACAAGCTTCCTGGACTGAGATTCAGAGATCAGCACCTCCCCCTTGCGTCAATCACCAGTCAAGACTGGAGTGGGAAAACCTTTAAATCTTTTTAGAACTAGCCTCTAACAGCAATGAGAAATTGGTGCTAGCAAATAACCCTGAGATTAGCTAGTAGCAGCAGCTATTAAGAACTGCTGTGGTAAACCTTCTCACAAACTCTCGAACACTATAAGATGTTTTGAGGATAAAGCATGTGCGGAATATACGTGAAAAGATTGGAAGCATCTCTACCATCTCCAGGGTGGAAATTCTGGAGGGGTCATTTGCATCTAAAACTATTACAATGATAAAAACAAAAATGATTAAGGGCTTTGAAAAGCAAGCAGAATACTATTTACCTTAGCAAAGGATTCTCCAAACACCACTGAATCCAAAATGGTACCACAACATTGCAGTGTTAAAATACACAGAATCAGTGATGATCCTTGAACACGCTTGAAGAATAAGTCCACTCAAGCTCTTTTTTTTTTTTTTTAATTTGATTTATATGCCGCCCTTCTCCGGAGACTCAAGGCGGCTTACAATGTGTTAAGCAATAGCCTTCATCCTTTTGTATATTTATACAAAGTCAGCTTATTGCCCCCACAAACTGGGTCCTCATTTCACCTACCTTAGAAAGGATGGAAGGCTGAGTCAACCTTGAGCCTTGGAGAGATTCGAACCAGCAGTAAATTGCAGGCAGCTGTGTTAATAACAGGGTGCGTAGACCACTGTACTATCAAGGCTCTTTGTGGCTTAGTTCTGAATAAATCTGCTCAAGCAGGTTATTAAAAATAATTCTTAATTTGCATGGAGACTAGGTTCATATACAATGTTTTTATGACTGTATAAAACGATTTAGCTGCATGGAAGTTCTAGGATAACTATCCAATGTCACCTCCACAAAAACAGCAACAAAGCCAGAAGCAAAACAGGGAGACTGTAGAAATTATATAGATTTACATAAATCTTTTCCAGACTGGTCTTTTTTAGATGCTATCTCCAGCTTGCACTACCACGTTAGCTGAGGATTATGAGAGTTTTAAACAAAGAAAAGTAGCTATAAGAATGTAAAGTTAAAACAAATTGTTTTGCATAATGAGTGCTGTCCCTGCTGTAAGTGCTGATCTAGCCCTACATTTTGACTAACAGTAATCCTCATAGAATTGTCACGCTGATATTCTGGTTTATCCGTATGCAGAATAACTGTATGTCAGTAGGCCAGTCATCCATAAAATCATTATTTTAACTTGGAAAGATTGATGGGTTGAAACTCAGCTATGTGTATACAGAAAAATTACCTATATAGAGTTTGCTGCTTCTTTTTTAAACAGCACTTCAACAATAGTATCAGGCTGCTTTTTACATTCAAAACCAATTAAGTTATAGACTTAATTTTAAAAGGGGGGGATCAGAAGAATGGCTTCATTTCCTGCAGGGAATTTTCTCTTGCACAATATAAACTGTATTAGACCAATAGCCTTAATTAGTTAAGACGTAAGCATTTCAAGTGAAGAAATGTAACAATTGTACAGCCACTCATTACTGAGGAATTTTCCTACAGGGAAATTTTATACCTGAAAATATTGCCTTTGTATTTGGACGCAAAAGTCATTTGATTCTAATGCATATCCTTTTTCTGTCAGTGTTAAAATTATATTAAGGTATGACATGACTAAAAGAACTATTACATTTGTTTTCTAAGTGCCTCCCCTCTATCTTCCCTCTTAGGTTAATGGAAAATGATTTTAAATGTGAGAGGAGTTTTCCTCAATAAGTATTTTGCAATATGATATGGGAGTTATCAGTTCAAAGCAAAAGGGGAACCCAGTGGGATAGTAAATGCCCATAATTGAGCCTAATGTTGTAGTCCTCAACTTATGACCACAATTGAGCCCAAAATTTCCATTGCTAAGCAAGACTATCTTTCTTGCCATAGTTGTTAAGTAAATCACTGCAGTGATGAACTTAGTAACATGGCTGTTAAGTGAATCTGGCTTCCCCATTGACTTTGCTTCTTTGAAGTTCCCAAAAGCTGATCATATGCAACCATCATAATTACATGCCAGGTGCCAAAGGTCCAAATTTTGATCATGTGACCATTGGGAGATGCTGCAGCTGTCGTAAGTATGAAAAATGGTCATAAGTTCCTTTTTTCAGTGCTGCTGCCGAAACTTTGAATGGTCATTAAACAAAAGGTTGTAAGTCGAGGACTACCTGTATTGTCTTACTGCCAGGTGCCAGTATGTTTGCTTTTTAATTATAAAGGTAGATATTTTCCACCACAACTTATTTTAAGGACACATTATCAAGGCTGCACAAAATAAAATTCAATACTTTATTGACATATAGCCTGACTGGAAATAATGACTCACTACCAAACTGAGACATAGCTGCCTGTCAAAGCAGAAATCCAATCTATGTTACTTCAGATTTTATAAACAAGGGAAGGATTCAGCAACCTGCAACAATCTGCAGCTCTTCAAATCAAATGAATATATTAAAAACACATACAGTTTTAAATGTGATAATCACATATTGATCTTAGCAAGAGTTCACAATTATTAAAGGAGAACCTCTGCGGAGAACTTGCTGAAATAGTATACAGTACCTGCCTGTATATTTTATGTATTTTAAATGGTATTTAAAAAAATCAAGAATTGCCTCTAAATGCCCTTGTGACAAACATCATGCACTGTTTACCGAAGAGCTCTAGGTTATGCAAGGGAGTGTCTTACATTAAATCAACCAATTGATCTGTCCAGCCCCAAGCTGAATACTGTGTCAGAAATGTACCAATTTTCCAGGCAAATGTCTTTCCTCTTATCTGAAATCCTGCCTAAGGCAGAAATTTGGAAATATAGCAAGGTGTGCTCTAAATTATTCCCTTTGTGACAATGTCTTTATTAAGTATTCACGTAGAAAAAGATGAATTAAAAGGCAGTCAAATCCCATTATGCCTGATGCTCCTGTTTTTCATTTCCGTGTCTATATAAATATAAATGAATGAGCTGCTAGCCTAAGAGTCTTATCCCATCTGCTGTGTTTTCCATCTGCCATGTACACTTCTTAAGGAAGAATACCGCATCCTCTCCTTGAACTCTAGTTGCTGTCATTTGATTTCTTGATCTCTTCACCACGTTCCAAAAAGGAGTATTTGCCCCCTCTAGTATAAAAGATGCAGATAATCATTCTGTGATTCGCTGTAGCCAATGATGAAAGCCT